GTGGGATCGACTGGGACAACGCTTTTGTTTTGGCGAAAGGATCCTCAAGAATCTGAAATCTAATCAACAAAATGGAAGTTGTTGACACTTTTATAAAAAGGATGCATAATTAACATATTTAGCCCTTAAACGGCAGAACGTAGACAGTCAAGAGTTATATGAACTCTCTGTCGAGTGAATATTCACGAGGCATAGCGGAATTCAGACTTCAGACTAATTTGCTTCTTATCTTACCTCTCTACGTGGATCTTAAAGTGCTTGAGCTTACTACAGCGCAGATAAGGGTTAAAAGATATGGAATTTGATAGCGAGTCCTCCTCATATTCCCATAGATATCGAGTGATGACACTACGCTACTTGTACTCTCTACCCAGTAATTCCTCGAACTAGTCGATCTTCCACGCTGTTGTTGAAACAGGTGATCTTACTCTCCCACGTTTCAACACCCACATCAAGACTTGGATATCCCGACAAATCGACGGATGAAATGTCTTCTCGGATTTTGGCTTCGCGATGAGTTTGCATCATCGTAGTTGGTCCTAAAGTCGATACTTTACCTCGCTGTATGACCAAGCGATTTGTCTCGATGAATGTTACCGATGCCAGCCCGTGAACAGGCTCAATCAGGGTGCGTCGAATGAATACGACTCGGTCTTGCTCAACGTACTTGCGGAAGACATCACGCATTACGATACGAAAGTCAAAGCCACCGAGCGAATAAGCACAGCACACACTCCGCATTCGAGTATTATTGTCAGGAGTGAAGTTCTAAACGCGGACATAACGTCAGACCGAGAGAAATAATGTATCGTAATAGTATACCAGAATTTCGGAACATACCTGCACGAACAAGACTGTCGCATCTTCCGATCTATCTGTTGCTGTCCAGATAGCCTTCTCCGTCTGGCGGAGGGCGAATGGCACTGCATATTTGTCGAGAAATTCGACGAAAAGGCCTTCAGCTCTGCGTGTTATTGTGTTATTCCTCCGCCCAGGACAGGCGACTTCATGCATTCCAACACGTTTAAGGAATATATCCATGTCTGCATATATGCGGTCCATTCCAGCTAGAAGCTCACCAAACACAGCCGAGTTATTCCGCGGTGGTGCGATGCCTCGAGAGGTCAAACGATGCTCCCTTTTGAGATCTATCGACGATGCTACCATATCCTCCCGAAGTTTTCTCTTAATCGCACGTTGCAAGCTCCTGGCAAGCTGTAAATTGTGCGCCACAGCTTCACGAAGCTTCACATTCTCCTCCTCACTACTCTGTCGCAGTACCGACTGTCGAATTGCAGTTTTCTCCCACATCTGCGAAGATTCCATTTTGCGCGATGATAGTGGAGCAGTAGCTCCAATAAATGTGTCTGCTCCTGGAAGTGTCGAGCGAACACCTGCCGCTAATTTGACTTGCTGATGCTGAATCGAGAGCTCCTTGGCGATCCTCCGTAGTGCCAAAAGTTCCTCTTTACGTCGCTGTCTCCACGATTTCTTCTCTGGTTTGGAGGGCGTGTCGGCCTCAACAACTCCCTTCGGTGACGACTCTGTGGTGCCGATGACGTCGTCATTCGGCATTTCAATGTCAGCGAGGAATTCCAACACGGACACTTCATCCATATCCATGAGAAAGATGTCACTTGAGGACGTGGTTTCCATCTTTTGCCAGTCGCAGAATGAAGTGGTTAAACCGTTTGGACTGAACGCGAACACGAGCGATAATCATTTTGAACGAAACCCCGAATAATCACATTGTGCTGAAGGCTTCAGAGTCAACTAATCAGCCAGCTTACGACAAACGATACGTTTCGT